AACACTGATCTTGGTGTTTTGAATGCTTTAAGTGCAGAGGAGGGATTTTATTATTATTATTATTATTATTATACAGTATTTATAAAGCGCCAATAGTTCACTCAGCGCTGTACATTACAAAGGGGGACAGAACATGTGACAGAACAATACCAATACAATGCAAAACATGAGGGGATCGAGGGCCCTGCTCTTTCGAGCTTACAATCTAGAAGGGATGGGATAGTGGTACAGGAGGAGATAGCTGTGGGGGATGGAGTGGTAGGAAGAGTGGAGGAGGTCAGCAAGTTAGCAGGGGGTGAGGTAGGCTTCCCTGAAGAGATGGGTTTTCAGGGTGCGCCTAAAGGAGAGGAGAGTAGGTGATAATCTGATGGGTTGGGGAAGGGAGTTCCAGAGGATGGGTGACACCCTGGAGAAGTCCTGGAGGCGGGCATGGGAGGAGGAGACAAGGGAACTAGAGAGAAGGAGGTCTTTTGAGGAGCGGAGTATGCGTGCTGGGCGGTACTTGGATATTAGGTCAGTGATGTAGTTCGGGGCAGTATGGTGGACAGCTTTGTATGTCAGTGTTAGGATTTTAAATTTGATCCGTTGCGCAATCGGAAGCCAGTGGAGGGATTGGCAGAGGGGGGTGGTGGAAAATGGAGCGGTTGGAAAGGTGAATGAGTCTGGCAGCCGTATTCAGGATCGACTGAAGCGGGGATAGCCAGCGGTGAGGCAGGCCAGTGAGGAGGGAGTTGCAGTAGTCGAGTCGTGATATGATGAGGGAGTGGATGAGCTGTTTAGTGGTTTCTGGGGTTAGGAACGTGCGGATTTTGGCGATGTTGCGGAGGTGGAGTCTGCACGAGTTTGTTAAAGATTGGACTTGGGGCTGGAAGGATAGGTTGGAATCCAGAATGACACCAAGTACTCTGGCCTGCAGAGCGGGTTTGATATTGGCGTTGTTGGATGTGATGTAGAAGTCGATGGGGGGTGGGGTTCGGGCTGGGGGGAAGACAAGGAGCTCGGTTTTGGAGAGATTCAGTTTAAGGAAGTGGAGCGACATCCAATCTGATATGTCGCTCAGTAGGTGTGTGATTTGGGCAGAGACCGAGGGGGTGAGGTGGGGGGTTTGAGAGATAGATTTGTGTGTCGTCGGCATAGAGGTGGTAGTTGAAGCCGTGAGAGTGTATGAGTTGGCCAAGGGAGGAGGTGTAGATGGAGAAGAGAAGGGGCCCGAGGACAGAGCCTTGAGAGACCCCAACAGAGAGGGGGGAGAGTGAGGGGGAGGTGGTGGCATTATAGGTAACGCTGAAAGAGCGTTGTGACAGGTAGGATGAGAGCCAGGAGAGAGCAGAATCTCTGAGGCCGAGGGAGTGTAGTTTTTTGAGGAGGAGGGGGTGGTCGACTGTGTCAAAGGCCGCAGAGAGGTCAAGGAGTAGGAGCACTGAATAGTGGCCATTAGCTTTGGCGGTTAGAAGGTCGTTGGAGAGTTTGAGTAAGGCGGTTTCGGTGGAGTGTAGGGGGCGGAAGCCAGACTGTAGGGGATCGAGGAGGTTGTTGTTGTTGAGGTGAGAGCATAGGCGGGTGTAGACGAGGCGCTCGAGGAGTTTAGATGTAAGTGGGAGAAGGGAGATGGGTCTGAGGTTGTTCGGGTCATTGGGGTCCAGGGAGGGCTTTTTAAGTATGGGGGTGATGTGTGCATGCTTCAGTGGGGAGGGGAAAGTGCCGGAGGAGAGGGAGAGATTAAAGATGTGGGTGAGGGAGCGTAGGATGGAGGGGGAGGGAGGTCGTAGGAATTGTGAGGGGATAGGGTCGAGGGGGCAGGTGGTGAGGCGGGCATCAGAGAGGATCTTGGAGACTTCCTCGATGGTAGTAAGGTCAAAGGTGTGGAGTGTTGGGGGAGCTTCAGTATGAGGAATGTAGGGTGGGGTGGGAGTGGAGGTCAGAGCAGTGGTGGGGCCGTGGGAGAGGGGTGATGAGGGGGTAGCTGAGTGAGGGGGAACGGGGTTGGAGGGAGTTTGAGCAGTGACGAAGTCCCTGCGGGTAATGTCGAGGGGGAGGGGGGGGTGAGGGGGTAGCTGTGTGAGAGGGGACGGGTTGAGAGGGCGTGTGAGTTGCGGCAATGTCCTTGCGAATTGTGTCAATCTTGTTTTTGAAGTGATTGGCAATCTCAAGGGCGGTGAGTGAGGTGCTGAGGTGGGGTGGGGGTGGAGAGAGTAGAGAGTTGAAGGTGGAGAAGAGTCGGCGAGGATTGGAGGAGAGGGCCTTGATGAGGGTCAGGAAGTAGGCTTGTTTGGCTGCGTGGAGGGAGGAGGTGTAGGTGCGGAAGGCAGATTTGTAGCAGGTGAAAGCTTGTTGGGATTTTGTTTTGCGCCATAGTCGCTCCAGGGCACGACTGCGTCGTTTGAGGGTTTTGGTGTGATCAGTATGCCAGGGCTGGAGCGGTCGGAGTCTGATGTTGCGTGTGGTTAAAGGCGCTAGTGAGTCAAGGGCTGCTGACAGCGCGTTGTTGTAGGCAGTCAGAGCCAAGTCGGGGCAGGACAGGGGGATGATGCGTCGTGGAGTTGATCAGCTGCAGAGTGGAGGGAGGCAGGGTTAAGGTTGCGGAGGTTACGGCTGGTAGTAGTGTGACATTTGGAGGGGTCAGGCGTTGGAGGATGAGGAGATAGAGAAGGTGATCAGGTTGTGGTCAGAGAGAGGGAAGGGGGTGTTAGTGAGGTTGTGGGGAGCGCAGCGGTTGGAGAAGACAAGATCAAGGATATTCCCGTCGGAGTGGGTGGTGGATTGTATGCACTGTGCAAGTGCAAAGGAGGAGGTTAAGTGGAGGAGACGGGCTGTGTCTGGGTTGTCAAGGTTGACAGGGATGTTGAAATCCCCAAGAATGATGGTGGGTAGCTCAGAGGAGAGGAAGAAGGGTAGCCAGGAGGAGAAGTCTTCCAGGAAGCGGGGTATGGATCCAGGAGGCCGGCATATCACAGCAATCTTCAGGGGGGTTGGGGAGAATAGTCGGACGCAGTGGGCCTCGAAGGAGGAGAAGAAGGATAGGGAGGGGGGGTTTGGGAGGACTCAGAAGGTGCTCTGCGGTGACAGGAGCAGACCAACCCCACCACCTTTGCGACCGTTAGGTCTGGGTGAGTGGGTCCAGGTGAGACCTCCATAGGAGAGTGCAGCAGGGGAGGTAGAGTCAGTGGGCTGGATCCAGGTTTCCGTGATCGCCAGGAGGTTGAGGGAGCGGGAAACAAAGAGGTCGTGGATGGCGGTAAGCTTGTTGCACACCGATCGGGCGTGCAGGAGTGCACATGAAAACGGGGGGGAGATTTTGGGGAGCAGGGGGACAGATACTAGGTTGCGGGGGTTGCGGTAGGACAGGACATGGAGGCGGGGAGGGTGTTGTGCGGGTGAGGGAGGTGGTGGAGGGGGCCAGGATTCGGGGAGATGTCTCCCGCGGCTAGGAGGAGGAGAAGGGTGAGAAAGGTGGCATGGGAGCGGGATGTGCAGGAGCGTGAGAAACTCCTAGTGGAGGTGTTCGGGTCAGTGGGAGAGTGGAGTAATAGGAGGAGGTGGTGGGTGCCATAGAGGGGCGAAGGAAGCAGTGAAGACACAATATACAAATGTTTAGGAGGAGCAGAGGGATATAGTGAATGGATTTTGGGAATGGAGGAGAGGAAAATGAGAAGGAGTAGAAGAGGCATTTTGGGGGGTGATGAGAGCAGTAGTAGGGAGATGATAGCAATGAGGGGGAGATGTGCAAGTTTTGGGGTGGAGCAGAGGGGTAAAGAAATGAGATTTGGGAACAGAGGATAGTAGTATGAAGAGGAGTGTATTATATAAAGGTACACAGAGTGGGACTCAGGCATGTAAGAGATTTGGGGTCTTATAGACCCCAGATCTCTCCTTTAAAGAGCACCTGTCACAAAGGACGTTTACATTCCTTGTGACAGCAATAAAAGTGATAAAAAAATTAAAGCAACAGTGTAAAAATAAATTAATAATTTGAAAAAAAAAAAAACAAAAAACATTTGAAGTGCCACTGTGCACACGTGTAAAGGTGAATTTGCGCGGCGATCCCGCAGGCATGCAAACAGTGATTGACCCACACATGTGAGGTATTACAGCAAATGTCAGATCATGGGCAGTAATTCTAGCACCAGACCTCTGTAAACCTAATGTGGTAACTTGTAAAGGCTTTTAAAGCATTGCCTATGGATAGTAAAATTTACGTTGTTTGTCGCTGTTGCACGGGCATGCGCAATTTTAAAGCATGACCTGTTTGGTATCTCTTTTATGTATTACAAAAAAAAAAATGTATGGGTTATCTATTGTGGGCAAAATCCACTTTTTGCATTGGTTTGAACTTCAGCAAGTTGTCCTTTATCGGTGAGCCATGTCTAGATGCCTAAAATGCATTTCTTCCACTGATTTTCCTGCAAATGTGGATTGATGGGGCATGATTCCTCTTCCTAATACCAAATGTGGCAGTTTGTATTGATGACAGTTACTGCTGCTGCAATTGAATGAAGGTGTACCTTGCTATAAAGTGGCCATTGAGTATATTGCTAGTACCTGGTTGGACCCCTTTTGGGCCTTAATTCTTCGGTAGATCTACAAGGTGAAAAAAAATTTTGGTCCACTGATTGTTCCCTTTCTGTCACCATGTGAATTCAACTCTGAGTGCCGCCACTGGAAATGGCCCGTGCACCCAGTGATCAGAGAAATAATCAGATCAGCCTGTGGCACCAACAACAATGTCAAAAGACTTAAATCCCTCTTCTGTGCTTGGTTTGAACCAGCAAGTTGTCTTCGCATGTCTAGACTCCCAAAAATATTTCCTGCAATGTGGATTGGCTGATTTTTGTAAATATTGAAACCTGATTTAATATAATTTACAAAAAAAAAATTGGCATTGCATGTTATGACTGGAAGGTGTGTCCCTCATAGTAGACTCCAAAAAATTTTTTTTGTAAATAATACATTGGTTTGCACATTTGTTTTTTTTAATACATTGGTTTGACATTTGGTGGTAGGTGGAAAGTAGACAAAGATGTCTTAGCCCGTAACACCGTATTATTGCTGAGGCTTTGACCCGTGTCATTTATAATCTAACCGACAAGGTATGTTGTTTTTAAACCTGTACTGATTTATAGCTTTTCCTTGTACACTATTTATTCATGTTTGTTTGACTTTTTTGTTTGTTACAGGGTGCCCCAGCTGACCTACAGATTTTCACACAACAGATGGTAAGAATTTCAGGCACAATACATTATTTGTCTGTCTCATTAAAGTAGACTGATTTACTATATTTTCCTGAGCATAGTATTTAGCATCATCAATATTGAAAGACAATAATTTAATGTTTGTTTAAAGCTTAACTCCCTTGTATCTGTGATTTTTATATAGTTCATTTGGGCCAAGGTGGCCCAAACAAACTATTTCCTTCACTTACAGGTGTGCCTGCCTGGGCTACGTACAATATGCAGCTCTGTGTTCTGGCTGTTGGATGCAGACTTCACGTCCCGGTCTGAGTAAATTTGAGTCAGGCTGACCACTACTCAGCCATTCACAGGAAGCTTAGTATTAATGAATACAAAGCTTCTTCCGATTGGCTGATTGAGGCCAATGACCTCAATCTCCAGATGAAGCTTTGTATTCATTCATAGAATACAAACCTTCTTTTGGATGACTAAGCAATGCTCAGCCTAACTTGGAAAGGGACATAAACCCCAGGTGGACAGGTCCCCAGAAGTCATTGACGCCCTGTTGCAGGAGAGTAGTTCATCCCACAGACAGCCCCAGGAGACACCCTTCTCCTACTGGACAGGGTTTGAGACGCACACACTCCCCCATTTCTTGAAGCTGCTAGTTGGGAAGAAGTAGCCTGCAGAAGATTACCTTTTAGGGGATTGGTGTAAATAAAACAAGAAGCCACGGCACTGTCCGACACAGGAACCAGAGTACCTCTCCTTAAGCTAAGAGGATTCCTGTTCCTTGTTGATGAAGACACAGCGGTAGCTAGACTGTATTCAAACCAGAAGACTTGAACGACAGAGAGGAAACTCCTGTTCTGGAAGTTCTAAACACAGCTCCGGAGACAATTCTCTACAAAGAGGAACACCCCCCCTTTCCCCACAGATAGAGAAAGATGCCTTTTTAACCTTTTGATTGGGAATCTGAGTAACAAGGCCAAGAACTACTGGGTCAGTAGCGGCAGACACATTAATCTACTGAGGAACAAGACCAGCTACAGCAGAGTAAAAGCCTAGACTAGATCAAGAAGAAGTAGGAGAGAGAGAGGTGCCTTTGAGAAGAAGGTCCCTTCACACTTGAAACTCCAGCAGAAGATAAGTGACAGGTAATTCCCTGTCTAAGGACAAAGGTCAGTGCTTTGGTTCCTTCCACCAAAGGTATACCCAGTACACCTGATAACCTTATGTCCCACAAAAGAGACTTTCTCTGAGGAAGAAGGTGGTGGCTAGGCAGGGCACAGAGGTCAAACAGGAAGCAGAGCCAGAGTACATAGGTTGAGGAAATCCAGTGGACTGGGAATAGTTTGTTAATCTGTTCTGTGGCATAGGGGAGCAGAGGGTGAGCAGTTGAAAAGAGTTTGCCTGTAAACCTAAAAAGGGCACTATCTGCCCCTGAGTAAATGAAAGGTGAACAACCCAGGGACTTGCAAGGATTTGTGACTATCCCCCCACTTTGAAAAGTGGGATGCATGCCTTCATCCTGAAGGCCTCTCTGTGGGCTTTGCAGTTTTCTTGCTGCCACCTTGTGAGCTTCTTATGAATTAAGCTTAGAAGGTCTAGGTGTGCCTACTCCAAAAGCAGATGAAGGTGAAGGATTCAAAACAACTTTTTCTTGGATTTCTTATGCTGAGGCAGGTGTGTGCTTTTGTCTCCCATGATATCCTTGATGATGATATCAAGGGTAGATTTCAAGAGATAAGGACCCTCAACAACTGAGTCAGGTGTTGCTTGTATACATTATCTACATCCCAGTACCTTAACTATAGACAACAAACTCAAATAGGACACTAGATGCTTGTGAAAAGAAGGGCTTCTGAAATCTTCACATAATCTATCACGAACGGATCCACTGCAATGGTTGAAAGTCTTTTGAGAGATTTAACCCATTATGCAATAGCTTGATAGATTAGGGTCACAGCTGTGTCCAGCAGAAAAGATTGGGTGTGAAGGAGAGATTCCAAGTGCTGGTTAGTATAATCCTTAAAGATAGGCTCACCCACTACTGGCCTGGTGGTTTTCCTGTTAAAGTGTTACTAAACCCACAACCGTAAAATATACAGTATGTATATGCAGTAAAGCATGCCTGTTATACTCACTGTGGAACCTAAGGGGTTATTCCTCTGCATTGTGTAAGAAGGCTGACTGATCGTGTCTTCACTGATCCTCCCCTTCTACTTTCTCCAATCCATCTGCTGATAGTACAGAGCTCTAGGAGACAGTCTGCACATGCTCAGCTTAGTGTCAATTGCTAGAGAGGTTTTTTTTTCTTTGGCAGGGTGAATGTGATCAGCATTGTCCAGAGGGTCAGTGGTTATGCAGCCTCATAGGACAGTCAGAGCAGAATGAAAACTCCTCCTACAAGCTTTAACCAATGTTCAACTGGACACTAATAGAGGTCACAAACTGCTATATACTGCTGATGAGAAAAGGTATTTAGCAGTTTATATTTACTGAAATAATTGCATTTCTGTGTACTGTGGGAGACCAGATATAGTGAATGCAGGGTCCCGGGTTTAGTAACACTTTAAGGTGGATCACTGATCCACAGTGGGTACCAACCACCATTTAACAAATTCCCTCTCAAAAGGAAACTGTTTCAACAACTACTCAGGTGGGGTCTAGGACCCTCCAGGTTGGTGTCATTCAACATAGAGGAATACTTAGAATAAAAAGGATAAGGCAAATGTATTTGCAATCAAAGGGGCCCTGAAAGACCTAGTGCTGGAGACAGCAAGTTGATTTTCCAGATGCAGTGTATACATACTGCATCAGTAAGGGCCAAAATGGTCTGTTGTACCAGAGTTATAGCCAGATTCTGTGGTTTCTAAAAAAAATCTCATCTGAGAGACTGAGGTGGCCCTGAACATGAGCCAGAGATGGTTATTGTGATCAGTGGCCTTGCCTCCCTGGCCTTTTCTAAGGCTGAATAGATATGAGAAATTAACTTGTTAGAGAGATTTCCCCTCACTTCCTTTCTGGGGGTTGATCTTTATGCCAGACAGGAAATTAAGGAGTCTGTCTACCCACTCCTTTGGCTGCCATAAAATCTGGCAGGAGTTCTAATACTTCTCCACACTATCCAAATAACAAAAATTACGTTTTGGCTATAGATGCACTTTAATCAAATTCTAGTTAGTGGCTATGAGTTATTGAACTACTTTATTGAATATGTATTGTTTGTACTTTTGTCTGTATACAAAACTGACTACCAGCATGTGCATCCTAGTTCCAAGATTGTTAGATGTATACGTAAAGTATGTTCACACCTCCGTCTGCAACTGGTTATAAGAGAGTATTGTTTGTGTGTGGAGTGGAGAGGAAAAAAAAAAACTCTACCTGCTGAATTGGTATTGGGGTTTCTTTCCTTTGTAGAATGGTACAGTTGAGACAAAGCTCAAACTTTTAGTTTATGGATGGAGCAGCAATAAGTTCTTGTTTACATGCAGCAACATATATGCAGAGTGTGATTTTAAAATGAACAAATATTGTATGCAGTGTAATTTAATTGAAATATGTCAATAGAAAGTTGTTTGCATTTTCCTTGCAGCAAGTACAGAAGGAACAGCTAGATGCACTGATGCAGTGGTTGACCAGCCAGCCCCGGGCTGCACAGCTAGTAGATAAAGACAGCACTGTAATCAGCACGCTGGAGTATTATATGAGCCGATACTTGAAGGATGTGAAACTTTATCATGTGAAGGCTGACAAAAGGTAAGTAGTATGGTTTCTATCTGGAATAGTTTTACTTGCTAGCTTTAATTTCTGCATGTCTTTGGTAATTGGTTTATATTTATAGTAAACCTGTCATCACTCAAAGTATAAATGGGGTCCTTGTCTGAAGTTAGCCCTGACACACTGCTCAAATTTCAGCAGGAATAGGCAGAGATTTGAGCCATGGGTAACCCTGACAGCACCACTTGACTCAACAGAAGTTGGTTTAAGCACTTTGTGGCCGCCCTATAGGAGTTTTACTTCTGCAGGGCGGCCCCTCTGTGCAACATACACGAGATTTTGCATTTACCGGTAGGGAGTGTGCGCGCTGCCCTATCCATGCTGTCATTGGCTCCCGGAGAGATGTCAATCACCAGTTCCCGGCCAGCAATTTAGGACCGCGACTCAGTGATTGGCAGAGCAGCTAATGGGATTGATCTAAGTATAAACAACACAGATCTCTCTCTTGTCAGCAGGGGATGTGCTGCTTTCTACCTCTCTGCAAAGCAGAGAGATATAAAGCAGCATGTTCCCTCAGTAAAACAGCATACAAGCACAAAACAGTACACAGCTAACCCTTTGATCGCCCATTATGTTAACTCCTTCCTGCCCAGTGTCAGTACAGTGATTAGTGCTTTTTATTAGCACTAGTCACTGTATTAGTGTCACTGGAGATGTCAGTGGCAGTTAATTCCCACCCAATGTCATTTAGTGTCAGAATGCCCGTCGCAGTCCTGCTAGAAGGGGCTGATTGCCGCTATTACAGGTATAACAAAAATGTATACAATCTCCAGTATATATACTGCCGTTTGTAGACTCTAACTTTCACGCAAACCAATTAATATACACCTTGGCAATTTTTTTTTTACCAACGAAATGTAGCAGAATACATTTTGGTCTACATTTATTTAGAAATTTTAATTTCTTATGGGGTATGTTTTTTTTTTTTTTATAGCTATATATATATATATATATATATATATATCTTTCTAATTTTTTTTTTTTTCGATCTTTCTTAATTTTTAGCGCAAAAATGAGAAAACCCAGTGATGATCAAATACCACTAAGAGAGCTCTATTTGTGTAGAAAAAAAATTTATAAAGTTCATTTGTGTACGGTGTTGCATGACCACACAGTTGTCAGTTAAAACAAGGAAGTGCTATATAGCAAAAAATGGCCTGGTCATGAAGGGGCAAATCTTCTGGAGGTCAAATGGTTAACAATCTGGGTGGAAAATTATCGGCTGACAGATGCAGTCACTGTTCTAGTATTCAGACAGTTGCTGAGGCTGTCTGAATACAATAACCAGCGGTGCAGATTACGTAATCCAAGCTGTTTAGCTTGGAACCTGATTTTTCTTTTAATCAGCCCACTATGGCAACCTATACTGAGACAGGGCTAATTGTAAGGCCATGGTGCAGTGATCTGTATTTTACCGCACTGTTTTCTGTGTGTCCTTTTCACACTCCAATGCATCCCAGAGAGGCAGTGCAGTGAGCTGCGATAAAATGCAGACATGCTGCATGTTGTTGCAGTGTACAGGCAGTGAAGGAAGGCTCACCATACCATCCCTACTAACAGGTCATTACAGCAAGAACGGAGAGCTGCCTGCACAAACAAATGGGCATGTAGGAAGATACTACCATAGATACCCTTTTGGTATGTTAGATAATAGCCCCAGTCGCACACAGCACTCAGTTTAATCACACATGGAAGTTAATTTAACTGCTGTTATATTTTACATATTCAAAGAGTAATCTGTCATATGTACAGCATATATTTATCAAGTTTTTCATTCTTTTGTTGACAGAGACCCTGAATTTGTGTTCTATGACCAGCTGAAGCAAACCATGAATGCATACCGGTGAGCCTCTTGTTTATAACTGAAGATTTGTCAGAGCCATTTGGGTTCTTTTTATCTATTTATTTTTTTATAATGCATACCTTATTTCAGAAAACATCAGGAAATATACAATGTATACAGTCTAGAAATTGTAACTAATACAGGCCATACTTTTATGTTAAAAACCTAGCGGTTTAAAGACATTTTAGTGACGGATTAAACAAAAGCAGCAGTGTAAACCTGGCTAAGACACCATGACAACAGAGACATTACAGTGGGCCTTTGAAGCTTAACCACTTGCCCTCCAGAGGATTTCCCCCCCCCTTGCTGACCAGGCCATTTTTTGCGCTACAGCGCTGTTAATTTAACTGACAATTGCACGGTCTTGCAATACTACACCCAAATGAAATTTACGTCCTTTTTTTTTTTTCCCCACAAATAGAGCTTTCTTTCAGTGGTATTTGATCGCCTGTGCGTATATTTTTTGTGCTATAAACAAAAAAAAGACCGTCAATTTTTTTGGGGGGGAACTATTTTTTACTTTTTGCTATTAAACATGTCCAGTAAAAACCTGTAAAAAAATCGAATGTCATCATTAATTTAGGCCAATACGTGTAAATGAATTGGATTACATGAAAGTTATAGCATGTACAAATGGTGGTATATATACTGGATTTTTTTTTTTCTTCCTAGTACTGCCGGCGATCAGCGACTTATAGCGGGACTACGGCGGGCATTCTGACACTGGGGGGAACTGACTTTGTGTCACTGACATCCCCAGTGGCACCAGTACAGTGATCAGTACTAATAAAGGGGTGATCAAAGGTTTAACAGTGTGCTGTTTTACTATGTGGGCTGTGTGTGCGTTACATTTCTAAGCACACTGCTTTGTATGGCTTTGCTAGTTGTAGAGACTTGAAGAAATCTCTGAATGGACAAAGAATCACCAGCGGACACAATGGGGTTTATTTACTTAAGCTGGAGAGTGCAAAATCAGGCTCACTTCTGCATAGAAGCCAATCACCTTCTAACCTCAGCTTGTTCAATTAAGCTTTGTCAATAAAACCTGGAAGCTGATTGTTTTTATGCAGACGTGAGATTTTGCATGCTCTAACTTTAGTAAATCCCAGTGAATGCAGCATTGAATCACATTTTTTAGAAAGCAAAAGGTCAAATAACTCACATTTGTATAGTAAAAAAGTGCTTATCATGGGGCTTCTGCCAGGCATGGTATCCCATGGCCGTAGTAGCGTATCTTAGTAGTAGCCACAGCAGCTGGTGGCAGTGAAGGATCCAGACCAGAGTGTAGGAAAGTCCGCTGCCAGAGATGCCAGAAGCCTCAGACAGTGTGGGAACCAGTGACAGACGTCATATGCCGGTAAGCGTGGAGGGGGCCCTTTCACTTGCCATTGTTTACAAGTTCCTACGCTGTCTGAGGCTTTTAACATCTCCAGTGCAGCCAGCCGGTGGTGGACTTCCCCACACTCTGGTCCAGATTCTTCACTGTCACCGGTTGCTGTAGCCTGGCTGATGCCATCATGATAAGCCCTCTTTTACTGTGCAAATGTGAGTCGCCATTTGACTTTTGGTTTCCAATCAATATGATTCAATACTACGCTTGGAGAGCGCTTTTTGGTGTTTGTTTCATAGGAAATATTGTTAGGCTGGCCATAAATGAGTCTTAAATACTAAAAAAATTTCTTTCAACCAGAGATTTTGAATGAAAAAAACAGACCCAGTTTCCCCCCTTCCATGCATTCAAGGTGGATGGGGGAATCCTTTTTGCTGTGTCATTTCTTTCTGACAGCGGGAAAACTTCCCCGCTGTCAGATTACACAGATCAGTGCTGCAGTTTACAGCCTACAATGCTGATCAAGCGGCAATTTTCCAACCGCACGGTTCAGCAGAAGTCAGTCAGTAGATTGACTACTGTTCAACCACAGTGGCCATACATGAATTGAAATTGAGCTGGTCAGTGCTGACTCGATCCATGTATGGCCAACTTTAAAGTGGAGTTCCAGTGAGTTCTGTGTTTATTAAAAGTCAGCAGCTACAAAAACTGTAGCTGCTAACTTTTAATAAACACACTCTCACCTGTCCCAGGGTTCAGAGATGTGCTCACCTGCACCGTCCCTTCTCTGCCTCTTCTCTCCTCGGCGCCGGCATCACAACTATGGGCACCAGGCTTCACAGCCGGGTGCCCACTGCGTGAGTCGCGCTGCGCATTCTGATTGGTCCAGCAGTCTTCTGGGACCTGTGAAGGTTCCCAGGAGGCTGCGGGAGGAAGGGGCGAACTTCCGGCTCACTTTGCTGCGGTGAACTGAGCCGGAAGTGGGAGCAGGTATCTGTCAAAACCAAAAGGTGCCAAATATGGCAGTGGAGAGGGAGGAGGCAAACAAGCGGCGCTTCCACTTTTGAGTGGAACTCCGCTTTAAGGTGTGAAAAATAAGCAGGTAGATGGAGAGGTAAGATGTGTGGTGGGGAAGGCACCCAGTCAGGGTTAGTGTGGGAAGCTGTCCATCACTTTGAGGGAGCTAGATAGGCCTTTCATTAATTTGATTTGATTTTTTTTTTTTTTTTTATTTTAATATCTATAGTCTTTTTGGCATTTTATAGTTCATTTCAGAGCAATGTCACAGACGTGTAATGTTTACTAAATCCTTTTATGTCTGATTGGGATGTGGGGTGTTTGAAATTTTTAGAACTTGCATAACCAGAATGTAGTTACTGATCATTATACCTTTTTTTTCAGGGTGAAGCCAGCAATTTTTGATCTCCTCTTAGCCCTGTGCATTGCAGCATACCTTGGCCTTTCATATTTTGCTGTTCAGGTATGGACACAGTCGTATTCTCTGGTAGAAGACTAAACTATATATTAAGGTTAATACCCCTGAAGACCATTTTAAAGATGTTTTGGATTCACAGGTTTTAGTTGTCATACAAATGCATAAGGCCACAGTCGAAGAGGGCATGTTTCACTTAACATACACCAAACTTGCATACAGATATTGGACACCATGACAGACCAAACCGAACATAGATTTAATATGAATAAACACTGACTGTTAGACAATCTGCTCAAAGTATGGTCAGCTAGCAGCATGATATTTAGTTTGGAAAATGTTTCCAAGTCTTAGAGAAAATGATCACCTGGTGGAAAAGGTGAGGTTTACTATTTCGGTAGGTTTAGCTATGCTTAATGAGGCAGTACATGGTATTGTCATAAGCTGTCATTTAGAATGATAGAGCTATTGACATATAAATTTCAGGTGAGATATGTACCACACTGTACCTACTCTCCTTTATTTTAGTTTGCTTAACTTTGCATAGATGGTAAACTATACAAACCATAAGTATTCTGGCAGTACTGCACACTACAGAGGGTTGTTGGTTTTGCAAGAGAAAACCCCTGAATTAAATCTGGGGAATGTCTAAAAATGAACGTTTTGCCACATGTAATCATTCAAGGACTGGCCAACAATCTCCCTCCACTCCCTTCTACATGGAGGGTGTCTTCATTGTTCCACAGGGAACCTCAGGTGGTGGGACCTCCAACTTTTCTGCAAGAGATATATGCTTATTGAAATGACCTGGGGTTAAAAGCTCCTAGAGTGCAGTATGTCGTGGTATATGCAGGGACTTGAGAGCACTTGCATTTGATTTTTGGGTGCCAGTGTAACAGGATCACAGATGTACTTTTAAGTAGATAACTGAATGTAGACGGCTTTAGAAATTAATTGTTACACTAATCAAGTGTTCTGGGGTTTTTTTTTTTCTTTCAGAACTTCGGAATTCTTTACAAACTGGTCCAAAGAGTTGCTTGGAAGCCCAAACAAGCCTGAGAACACATTCCTTAACTATGGTTATCTTGCTAAAAGCCTGGTGGTCCAGTATTTTTTTTTTCTTAAGCACTGGAGTTTGAAGGTCAACATAAACTCTGTTGCATGGATATCAGCTGATTCATCACTCCTTTCTTTACTAAACTGTATAGAACACAAAGGAAAATGCTCACTAGACGTGGTGGCGCTGTGTTGCAGTTTACGTCCATGGGAAATGGACCAATCATTGCGGGTACTCAGGATGAATAAAATGTGGTTTAAATATTTATGATACCAGGGAATCCCCTCACCATTTGCCTTTATTTTGGTTTTGTTTTAAATCATGCACTGACTTCCTCCCTGTTAATTCCTTGGTCATTAATGTTTAATTAAAACATGAATTGATGGATAATATTAAACGATAAAAAACAAAACTAGTGATGGTGTAGGATTTCTAATGTTGTTTTGACTTCTAAAGCTCATGTGCATTGCTTTGCCTCATCCCACTAACCAATGAAAGTGCCACTACTGAGGGACCTTCATTGGTGTGTGAGGTTGAGGGATAGTAAAGCTTCACAACAGACAAACTAAAGACCATTAGCACATTGCACCTATGATCATGGTACTCATTGCATGCACAAATATTTTGTTACTAAAGAGACCGTCACCAGATCTTACTTTTAAAATGAAGACCTCACAGAAGTAGAAGATAATAAGCACTTGCATGTTTCCCCACTATTTTAACTTTTATTTTATTTTCCCATGTTGTAACCTGTGAATCTTTTGTAGGAGTCTGCCATTTTCCTGTATATGTTAATACCTGTCTGTGCCATCCACTGCTCCTGCCCCAGTTTATCTGCAACATATGGATGTGAAGGCTACTCCGATCTGCCTACATAACAAACTTAATGCTTCTTAGGCATGATCAGTTGCAGTATTTTATATGCACCCATAAATTAATCAAATAGCATCATTAGAATAGTGAAGGTATCACTTCTGGCATTATTTAGCGTGTTGCTATGTATGAGCTCCTACTATCAGCCTCTCTGCCCTGTTAGGTTAAAGAGGGCTTGTTGAGAGAGCCTCAAACATAAATGTATGATAGCATGGGAATACTATGCAGCATCATTTGAGTGATAGCTCTAGGGCTGCTAATGTCAAATTCAAAATGGCAGTGCTCAGGCAGCAGTTTCAGACCTGTTTAGTACGGAAATACCAATAGTTAGAGAGATTGAAGACACAAAACAAAAAGAGAGTTAATTTAGCATATGTAAACCTGTGAAGATTTTGGTGGTGTTAAAGATACTTTTATTTTTTTTTATTAAATAACAAACATGACATTTTGCTTAGAGCAGTCTAGATCCTCCTCTTCCGGGGTCCCCTGCCGGCAGTTCTGGCCCCTCACCCCTGCTGAGTGCACCCCATAGCAAGCCACTTACTAAGGGGGCACTTGTGCATGCTCGCGCTTGAGCCCTGCTCAGTGTCCAGTGACATACAGATCACGACTCAGCCCTGCCCTCTGCTCCCTATCACTGGCTGTAATTGACAGCAGTGGAAGTCAATGGCTCCTGCTGCTGTCTCTGAGCCAATGAGGTGGGAGAGAGCTGCTGCTCTCATACACATCGCCAGAATCAGATTGGGCTCAGGTAAGTACGAGGGGTGTTCAAGTCAAGCCAGGACAATAATTTTATGGGTAAACAAAGGGACACTAGCTTGACGGTACTACACGCAGTAGTAAATGGCAAGTGCGTCCTATTACTGATAGATGGTTCACATGTCGCGGGCCAGTCCAGAGACCGTTATTCAAGATGGCAGACAACAGTGTTAGTACGTGCATGGAACAGCGTGTGGTGATGAATTTTCTTGTGAACGAAGGCGTAAAACCCATGGATATCTACAGAGGACTTCAAGCACAGTATGGTGATGAGACCCTCATCTGTAGTAAGACATTTGAATGGTTTAAATATTTCAAAGATGGCCAAGCGTCTGTCAGTGACGATCAAGGCCTTGGTGGCTCCCAGGCCACAGCAGCCAGGCTTGATCCTGGATAATCAATGCATAACCTGTTGTGAAATTGCACAAGAGACCAATCCTTTTGTGGGAACAGTGAACACAATCATTCACGGAGTGAGCAGGCTGTCCTATGATGGCTCAGGCATGCTGACAAATCTTTCTATGCTGAAGCTTTCCAGGCTGAGATGAGTGTATAAATATAGCAGGGGAGTATGTTGAAAAATAAATGCAGTTTCCACTCCTTGAACTTTGTTCTTTTATTATATAAACTCAAAAGTCCCAGTTTTACTTAAACACCGCTCATACTGAGGGGGGAGCTACATACGGACATTTTTTTTATGTTCATGCATGAAGATACAAAAACCTTCAGGCTTTACAACCACTTTAATATTATAGGGTCTGAGTGTTCTTGTAGATCATAAGAATAATAATGGCATGCAATGCCAAGCTGCAGTTTTTCCAAAGCAAGCAAATCCTTTCATGTGTTAAGAGAGGTATAGTCTCCAGAGAGAAAGATATCATTTTACCCCTGTACAAATCATTAGTAATACCTCATCTGGAATATGCAGTTCAGGTTTGGGCACCAATTCACAAAAAGAACATTGGGGAACTGGAGAAAGTACAGAGAAGGGCAACCAAACTGATACGAGGCATGGAGGAGATCAGCTATGAGGAAAGATTAGAGGAACTGAATTTATTCTCTTGATAAGAGGAGATTAAGGGGGGATATGATCAACATGTATAAATACATCAGTGGTTCATATAGTGAACTCGGTGTAGAGCTATTCACCCTGAGGTCAACACAGAGGACAAGGAGACATTCTGGAGGAAAAGAGATTTAATCTCCAAATATGGAAAGGCTTCTTCACAATACGTGGTGGAATAGACTCCCTCAAGAGTTGGTTCTGGCCAGTTCAGTAGATTGTTTTAAAATGCCTGGATTCTTTCCTAAATGCACATAATATAACTGGATATTAATATTTATAGGGAAAGCTCATCCAGAGAATATCAGATTGCCTCTTGTGGAGGATCAGGAAGGAATTTTTTCCCCTGCAGGAGCAAATTGGATCATGCTTCTATTGAATTTTTTTTTTTGCCTTCCTCTGGATCAACGTAAGGGTATAGGATTGTGTATATGGAGGTTTTCTATTTGTGTTTGTCTCTGTTAGTTAAACTGGATAAATTTGTGTCTTTTTTCAACCAGATTAACATTAACAATGATGTGAACCACACTTCATGGCATTGAAAGGGTCAATACAAGCTTACAGCTGCAATAGCAGCCGTGAGCTTGTTTGAAATTGTATCTGCAGTCTCTGGGCTTTATAGTAGAAGTGAACTCGTGACAGACACTAATGGCTGGTGTAGAAGCGGACTTGGCACTTTGTGCACAATCGGCTCAGGCAGAGTGCAGGGGAGACATTAGGGGGTTTATTTACTAAACCTGGTTGACTCAGAATCTTGGGCACCTGTGTATGGTAGCCAATCAGCTTCTAACCTCAGCATGTTCAGTTAAGCTTCAGCATAAAAACCTGGAAGCTGATTGGTTTTTATGCAGAAGTGGACAAGATTCTGAGTCAACCAGGTTTAGTAAATAAACCCCTAGGGGTCCAACAGAGAACCTGTTACTGCACGATACAATAACATAGGGGGTTTATCAGTTAAGTAACAAAATGAACTGAAGGTAAATTTAACAAATTAATGAAAAAGCAAAAAAAACTAAAATTTAAAGCACCTAGGCCCTCGGGCGCATACATAAAAATATATGCACCTAGGATGCCATGTGCATTTGTAAACATAAATTTTGCAACATAATTGGTGTCATCATGCATGCTGGAATGATGGCAATAATTCTAGTTCCATTATTTATGGTTAACGCTGAAATAATGAGCTGTAAAGGCTTTTGAAGTGTTGCCTATGGACAATATTGGCTGTCATAATTTGTCACCGTTTCACAGATGCATGCAATTTTTAGGTTTGACATGTTTGGTATCTATTTACTTAACACAATCTTATTTACTAGGGATGCACCGATATATCGGCCACCGAAAATGGTCGGCTGAAAACTGGAATTTTTTCGTTTTGGTTCACCACTATTTTTACATTTTACCAAAAAAATTAATGATTAATTGGTGTTTGAGTGCACAAAAAAAAAAGTTTAGTATATTTTTTTGCCAAAAATAGTGTTTTCTTTTTATGCAGTTGCACATAATTGGTCAACATAAAAAATGTGGATTTTTGTTTAATTTACAGGTTCTCTATTTTCATAAAATAGGAGTTTGGGGGTTTAATAATTTTCAGACCTAAAATTCAGATATTAACGTGGAAAAACTAGATTTTGGTTTCACTGTACCAATGGCTTTATACTTCACCTATAGCACAAAGCCCTACTATTCTCTTGTTTCTCCCTGTCCAATGATGGTTTCCTTAATGGACAATTGTGGGCTCCCTAACAGTGGCCCAAGTGGTGGTAGGGCTTAGCTCTGGGAGCAGAATGTGGCCAAGAGGTTACCACATTTATTAAAAATGTGAAGTCATGATCAGAGGGGAACACAAAAGGGGATTATATGGCTAAAATAAAATCGTGGCATTGATCTAGCTATTTACCAGTAGATCATCAGAGATCAATACAAATTAACCTTTCTGGCTATGAAGCTGACCCTGGAGTAAGTATGCAAAAAAGGTATTTTGATGTTTTGCTGGCCTCCCTGAGCTTGTTTCCACATTGTGGCTCAGAGTACTGATGGCAGCCCCATATTTCTTCAGCTCCAGTCAGTCCAATCAGTGAGCCAATCACACAAGTAGAAAATGATGTTGCGGGGGGCATTCTGTACACATTGTGTGTGCAGAAAACCTCCAGGTAGCCATATTGCATTGCATTTTATAGAAAATTACAGAGCTGCTTATTGAAAAGGAATAGTCATTTTTATTACCATTCAACTACAATATTACTTGTCGCAAATGTATTTGCTATGTTATATTTTTTTCCTACGAAAGAAATCTGTAGCTGTATA